GAGAGCATTCCCAGGATGGGTGATCCACTAGGAAGTTCTTGTGTGAGTTCTCAGAAACAAAACCATAAGGGCATGGTCGGGGCTCAAAGCAGACAATATCGTGCTACGGTGGAGTCGAACCCGATATGTGACATTCAAGGTTTGTTAAAATAGAGCAAGTTGTTGGAGATCAAAAATTAAATAAATTAACTAAAGTAGTTGTTTGACACTATTCACCTATTAAACTAGCAAAAATTTAACAAAAATGTTGGAGATGCTCTAAAGCTTGTATAATTGGATCAATTGGTTCTTGGCCTAGTGATCAATGACTAATGAAAACTCGAAGAAACTATAAATTTCAATTCGTCCTCCCCTGTTGATTTAAAGGAGAGAATGCATAAACCTAAAAGAAAATACTATGAGGAGTGCTTAAGGATTTGAATACATCGCATAGGAATTAAGACGCGTAATTAAGTAAAGAATTGCAAAAGGTCAAAAGAGAGTGCGGAAATCACTTCTCTTTCAAAAAACAAAATGAGACATTAAAATTGAAAGACCTAAAAAAGAAATTCAATTGCTAAGCCACAAAAACATTGATCAAAACCCAAATTTGGTATCTCAACCCAAGCCCAAGTTTTATCCCTACCTTATGCAAGAGGTCCAATGTTGGTTAGATCGAAGTTCAAGTTTATTCTCCAAAGCCCAACCACTAATTATAAGCCTAATTAACATAGGTAGTGTGTGTTTATCCACCAAACACAATAACTTTACCATTAATTAAGCATGAATGGTTGAAATTGCATAAGCTTAAAAGTTAAAATCATTAAGCACATGACAAATAAGACCCCATAATCTTTTTTTAATAAATTCATGTTTTTTACTTACGGTTCTTGTTAAGCGGAAAACCTGCAGTATCATATTGTAATAAGTGTTATGTGAAATGAACGGGCGAGGATTAAAAGAAATTATAGAATTACGGGAAAAAAGTTAAGATAATGGATCCACACCAACTACTGCGTGCCATACTCAGCTATAGGAGAAATTTTACAGTGTGTTGAAAATACAGTATCATAAATTGAAAGTAATAATACAGTAGATTGAAAACTTGAAAAAAAAAATTCCAACCAATAATATTATGACACTTTATGTATCGGCCAATATTTCTGGTACACTAAAAAATTTCTCCAGCTGTAGGCTCATGTCGTCCTGTGATTAGAATTATTGGGTGCATTTCCTTAATGGGCTGATTTCTATGGTGGAGCTTAACACAAATTTTAGTGGGGTCTCACCAATTAAAGAAATAAACCCTTTAATTAACAATGGGAATATAAAATAAAGAAACCAAAAAACAAAAAAAACTTATCTAATTAACTCTTTAACTTTATGACTAAATAAATTTATTTGTAAATGTGTATTTCAGGTGTTGATTCTCAATCAGATTTGGACGTTTCAAAATGTATCTTTGTATGTGAACTCAATTAGTCACTTTAATATTTGACAAAAAAATAGTCACTTTAATATACAAAATTATGTTGCCAATTAAGCTTCCTAAAATATGTTTTTATATGATATTGGCTTTTTCCTTTTTGTTGCTTAATTAGTATAGAATGGAAAATACAATCACAGTTTGATAAGTGTTTTCAAATTTATCGTTTTGTGTTTTTTTAATAAATTATTTTACATATGCACCAAATTGTAAAAAAATAAATAGATTTTTAATGGGAAATTGACATGTAATGTTTACCATACAATTTAATTTTAGAGCGTGTTTATTTATGTAAAATGAAAAATAATTTGATTGTCGACTTTTTGCGCTTTTATCCACACATATAGAACACAAAAAAATGCGGGTTCTAATGGTGGAGCTTACCACACATTTTGGTGGAGTCAGTTGATTTTATAGAAAATCATTTCCACAATACTATAGAGTATCAAATATTTCGAGGCTTTTATTCTTTAAATATTTGGTAAAAATCACAAAAACTGTGACATAATGGTTAAAAGGTTCGAAGTATGAGATATTCTGGAGCACTTTAGAACTTTTGTATAGAAAATCCTTCTTCACATCCCTAATTTACTTTGCTCAATCTTAAGCAAGTAAAACATGTCAATGTAATATTTGGGATGCACGTTTATCACGTCATCAACTGACAACTAATGTGATCATAATTAACATAAATCTAACACGACAACAAAATAATAATTTTGCATATAACATTGCAATATTTAAAAATGGGATACAAGCGGGAAATTTTATGATATAATTTATTTTAGTTTAAAAAAAATAATTGTTATTAGCACTTCAAAAATCTTATTTTACACTCTAAACTTTTTACAGTTAGAAAGAAAAATATAATTATAAGGAGTATAGAATAATAATTTTATAATCCTAATAATAATTCTCTAAAAAAATATAAAAAATCCGAAAAAGTAAGTCCTATGGGGGGACGTTCTTTTTTGGGTTAAAAGCCAATCAAATCTTTAAAATCTGTCCCACGCAGTGAATCGAAATATACCAAACGCCTACAAAAAGTCAAAATCCATCCATGTCGGTACGAATGACGGCCCCGGAAAGCGCAAGGGCAATTCCGTCATTCCAGAAACGGAAACATATTACTGGGACTCCAACTTGCGTACGCCGTAAGAAAATACCATGAGGAGTGCATAAGGTTTTGAATACATCGCAGAGGATTTAAGACGAGTAATTAAGTAGAGAATTTCAAAATATTAAAAAAGAATGCGAAAATCACTTTATTTTAAATAAACAAAATGAGAACAACAAATTGGAATATCCAAACAAGAAGTTCAATTGCTAACCCACAAAACATTGATCAAAATTCAAAACCCAAATTTTTCATCTCAACCCAAGCCCAAGTTTCATCCTTACCTTTGCAATAGGTCCAACATTGGTTAGATCCAAGTTCAAGTATGTTCTCCAATGCCCAACCACTAATTATAAGCCTAATTAACATAGATAGTGTGTTTATCCACTAAACACAATAACTTTACCATTAATTGAGCATGAATGGTTGAAATTGCATAAGCTTAAAAGTTAAAATCATTAAGCACATGACAAATAAAACCCCATAACTTATTGTTCTTGTTAAGCGGAAAACTTACAATATCATATAGTAATAAGTGTTATGTGAAATGAACGGGCGAGGATTAAAAGAAATTATAGAATTAGAGGGAAAAAGTTAAGATAATGGATCCACACCAACTATGCGTGCCAAACTCAACTGTAGGACAAATTTTACAGTTTGTTGGAAATACAGTATTGTATATTGAATGTAATAATACAATAAGTTGGAAACTTGAAAAAAAAAAAAATCCACCAATAATATTATGACACTTGGTGTACTGGCTAATGTTCCCGACACACTAAAAAATTTTCTCTAGTTGTAGGCTCATGTCGTCTTGTGATTAGAATTATTGGTTGCATTTAACGGGCTGATTTCTATGGTGGAGCTTACCACATATTTTTTTTTTGTGGGGTCTCACCAATTAAAGAAATAAACCATTTAATTAACAACGATAATGATGGGAATATAACATAAAGAAACCATAAAAGCTTAACTAATTAACTCTTTAACTTTATGACTAAATAAATTTATTTGTAAATGTGTATTTCAAGTGTTGATTCTCCAGATTTGGACGTTTCAAAATGTATCTTTGTACGTGAACTCGATTAGTCACTTTAATATACAAAATTATGTTGCCAACTAAGCTTCCTAATTATATGATATTGGCTTTCCCCTTTTTGTTGCTTAATTAGTATAGAATGGGAAATACTTATCCTGTCAATCACAGCTTTTTTTTTATTTTTTTTAATACATCGGTATTTTTACACTAAGAGAAAAGGGGTTCAACTAAGCCACACAATGAGCAACCTAATTTGGCATTGAATTCGCCATCTACGAGATTCGAATCTAAGACCTTTCACTTCCAAATGAAGATGAATACCATTAGATTATAGTACTAAGTGGGCCGTCAGTCACAGTTTGATACGCGTTTTCAAATTTATCGTTTTGTGTTTTGTAATAAATTAATTTCATATGTGCCAAATTGTAAAAAAATTAATAGATTTTTAATGGGAAATTGCCATGTAATGTTTATTATACAATTTAATTTAAGAGCGTGTTTATTGACGTAAAATGAAAAATAATTTGATTGTCGACTTTTTGCACTTTTACCCACCCGTATAGAACACACAAAAATGCGGGTTCTGATGGTGGAGCTTACCACACATTTTGGTGGAGTTAGTTGATTTTATAGAAAATCATTTCCACGATACTAGAGAGGATTAAATATTTCGAGTTTTTTATTCATCAAATATTTGGTAAAAATCATAAAATTTGTGACATAACAGTTAAAAGGTTCGGAGTATGAGATATTCTGGAGCACTATAGAACTTTTGTATAGAAAATCCTTCTTCGCATCCCTAATTTACTTTGCTCAATCTAAGCAAGTAAAACATCTCAATGTGATATTTGGATGTGTGTTTGTCACGTCATCAACTGACAACTGATTTGATAATAATTAACATGAATCTAACACGACAACAAAATAATAATTTTGCATATGACATTGCAATATTAAAAAAATGAGATACAAACGGGAATTTTATGACATAATTTATTTTAGTTTAAAAAGGAAAATTATTATTAGTACTCTAAAAATCTCATTTTACAATCTAAACTTTCCTCAATTAAAAAAAATATATACTTATAAATAGTGTAGAATGATAATTTTAAAATGATAATAACAATTTTCTAAAAAAGTCGAAATAAATATGATCCGAAAAAGTAAGTCGTATGGTCATTTTTGGGTTAAAAGCCAATCAAATCTTTAAAATCCGTCCCACGCAGTGAATCGAAATATACCAAACGCCTACAAAATCCATCCATGTCGGTACGAATGACGGCCCCGGAAAGCGCAAGGGTAATTCCGTCATTCCAGAAATGGAAACATCTAACTGGAACTCCAACTTGCGTACGCCGTAAGAAGCAACGTTTTTTTTTTTACTCTCCCTCTCTCTCTCTCCTCTCGAGAGCATTATAAAAACAAATAACGCGAAATTCATATAAAAAAGAAAAATATAAAAACGCAAACAAAAGAAAAAAAGAAGAAAAATTTCGGACCATTTTCCATTGTTTCTGGTTCTCGCTTTCTCTCTCAGGTACCCACCACGCACACCTCTCTCTCTCTCTCTCTCTCTCTCTCTCTCTCCTCTCTCTTTCTCTCTCTAGAATTTTTTTTTTCTTCTGTATTTTGTGTTTGTATATGTAGGTTTTTTTACCTGTGTATTTGTATTGGAATTTGATGTAAAAAAATATATTTTATCTGGCTCTTGTTTGAATTTGAATTTCTGGGTTTTTGGGGTGGGTTGTTGTTGATATTTTTTCTTGGGATTTGATTCTTGAATTGGGGATTTGTTATCTGTTTGGATTTTTATTGGTAATTTGGATAAAGTTAGCTGAAAAAATGGAAAATAGAAGGTGGAGAGGGGAGAGATTTTTTAAATGGAGATTCTTGGTGGGTTTTTTGTTGATGGATTTTGGTGTAATTGAATAAATTTGTGGGAAAGCGAATCCTGGTTTTTTTTTTTTTTTTTTTTTTTTTTTATATATTTATTTTTGGTTTTAATGCCGAAAACAGCAGATCCGTGATGGGAAATAGAAAAAATATTGAGGAAATATTGTAATTTGATTTGTTTGAGCTGGATTTGGGATTCTGAAATTTGGATTAATATGTGGATTTTATGGTTTCTTTTGGGTGCAAGGAACAGATGGTAAAGGGAGGGAAGGTTAGTTCCAAGCGAAAAATCAAGACAAGGGTTCCGTCAAAGTATCAGGGTTCCGATGATTCGGATGAGGATTATGTGATTTCGGGTGAAGAAAATGAAGTTTCTGAGGATTTAGAGGAGGATTACTGTTCTTCTTTGGACGGAGATGCGTCGGAAGAGAGCTTTGTGGATGAGGAGGAAGAGGAGGATGAAGTGAAAAAGGTGAGGAAGAAAACTCGATCAAGAGCAAAAAGGGGTGCTGGTGGTTTTATTGTGGATGAGGAGGAGGAGGAGGAGGAGGAAGAAGATGAAGAGGAAGTGAAACCAGTTAGGAAGGGAATTAGGTCAAAGGTCCAAAATGGTTTTTCTAGCCGGCAGAAAAATGGGGTTAAACCGTCACGAAAGAGGAGAAAGATTACATATCGTGAGGTGGAGGATCAGGATTATAATGATGAAGATGATGATGACGATGAGGAATTCACACCAGATGAAGATGAATTTTCGGACGTGGAAGAAAAACCAGTGGTGAAAAAGAAGAAAACTGATGGGAAAGTGGGCAAGCGGTGCTTGAAGAAAAAGGGTCGTCCTGTAAGAGGTGTAAAAAGGAGAAAATCTTTGGCTTCAAAGAAGCCTTTGAGAAAGAAAGGTAGAACAAGTCAGGCGTCGAGGAGGAAGGCAAGAAGTGACGATGATATTGAAAGTGATAGCGATTTCATGGATAGTATTGTGCCCGTGAGAGTAACGAATGAGAAAAAAACGGTTAGGAAAAGGAGGAGAATGTCTATACCGTCAGATTCAGATTTTGTGTCTTCTGGAGCATCTGATTATGACTACACCATCTCCGAGGAAGAGAGAGAGCAAGTACGAGAAGCCAAGGAGTTGTGTGAAAGATTGGAAACTAATTTGCGAAGTTCATTAGTGCCTACTAGCATTCAGGAGGATACACCTGTACAACAGCCAAGAAACCCTCCTAGAAGGAAGGGTAAAGAGAAGATTGAGCAAGTGAAGGTTGAGGTTGTAAAGCAGGTCTGTGGCATTTGTCTCTCCGAGGAAGATAAAAGAAGAGTGCGGGGAACACTAGACTGTTGCACTCATTATTTTTGTTTTGCCTGCATCATGGAATGGGGAAAAGTGGAATCTCGTTGCCCTTTGTGCAAGCAGAGATTTAAGACAATTAGTAAGCCTGCAAGATGTACGACAGGAATTGATTTGAGAGAAGTGGTGATACAGGTCTCTGAGCGTGATCAGGTACCTTATCATGTTACTTGTTATGTCATGCATTATCTTGCATTCTGTTTGCTGCTTCATTTTTTTGTTTGTTTGTTCAAATGGGTTTATTTCTTTATGCAGGTCTATCAGCCGACAGAAGAAGAACTCAGGAGTTATCTTGACCCTTATGAGAATGTGATATGTACAGAATGCCACGAAGGAGGGGAAGATGGCCTCATGTTACTGTGTGATCTATGTGATTCACCTGCTCACACCTTTTGTGTTGGTCTTGGCCGAGAAGTACCTGAAGGTAATTGGTACTGTGAGGGTTGTAGACCTGTGGCTATGGGATCCTCAAGTTCACAGGCTCAGGGTCGGTTGTCTGATCAAAGAACTACAAACAACATTTTGTCTAATAGACCATCACCTACTGTACATTTTGACGAAGGAATAGACCTTAATGTGGTGTCCTCACCTCGTCCACAATTTACTCAAGGATTTCCCCCTAGATTTCCTGTTGGAGGTTTTCAAGCACCTTCCCCGGTATCTGGGGCAGGAGCACCAACTCTATCAGGGAGACGCTTAATACAGCGTCATATTCAACAACTCCTTAATTCTAATAGGACGAGTTATATGGCCAGTATAAATGAGAGGAACTCATCTGATAATTTGAGAAATGATTTCTCTCACCCTCAAGCTGCTCAGACAAGGGAAATGACAGTCCAACATACCAGGACAGACGAGATGGAGGCATCTTACCACACATTCTTTGAGGAGAGATTACAAAACAATCCTTTAGCACTAGTGCCAGATAACTTGAGTACTGATTTCTTAAATACATCAGCATCAACCCCTCAGAGAAGGCAAGCAATTGGGGATCCGACTACAACATCTGCTGATAGATCTCAAAATGGAGCATTATGGCCTGTACTTACCGGAATGAATTCAGTACCAAATTCCGGACAATTCCATCACTTCAGCGGTAGACCAAATATTAGTGGATCTGATGCTGGTGTGTCCCCTAGTACTGCTACGGAACAGGATGTTTTTCACCTAGCAAAGGAACAACTGAAAGTGATGGTCAAAAAGCACTTGGATAATTTGTCCCGAGACGTTGATCTAGGTATGCGAAGCTTTCAACTTATTTTTATACTTGTATGGAAAACTATCACATTGTTCATTTTGGACTGATCCAGACTTGAGCATTTCTACATTGAATTATGATTCTGCCCGCTTATTCTTATGAATTATGATTCTACACTGCCAATTGGAATGTTCCAACTCCTTGTATCTTTGTGTTTCAGACAAAGACACTTTCAAGGACATTGCGAGGAGATCTACGCACACTGTCTTGGCTGCGTGTGGACGTGAGCACAGAAGCTGTGAAGTAGTTCCCGTGCCTCCTCCCTCAACCTGCGCCCACGTTGAATTAACGGTGGGTGGAATGACAAGTCTGATGAGAGGCCGATGTCCATCTTGTTTCGAATCTTTTGTAGGGGAAGTTGTAAAGAGGATCTTCGATACAAAACTCCCGCAGTGGTTGAGTTTACGTCTCTAGTTATCGAGTATCCTCGTTGCAACACACGTCTTTCCCCTCCCCCGTCGATCCTGTTTTTGTTAGGAATTTTAGACCATATTTTGTTTAGCTTATTTAATCCCATTTTTACATTAATTTGTTAGATTAGGCTAATTCAAATATATGAAAATTGCTACGTATTTATCACTTTCCATTTTTGCTCATTGGCTGTTATTATTCTGTCTGTCTCTGCTATTTTTTGATGTTTTCTTAACGGTTGTTTCTTTGGCCACCCTTTGTTTTTTGTACCGGAAGTTACTTATGCATTTACTATTTGGGGGAGAATGATGCTTGTGGTAAAGGACCAGGACCACTCACATACCACCAACCAGCCTTTTCTTTGCCTTTCTTTGTCATCCGACCCAGCCCCTCCACTACACCACCTTTCGAGTACAATAGCACATGTCAGTCCCACTAATCTTTTTACAATTTGAGTCGGCTGACAATACTTGGCTCGTTACATGTGAAACTTTTCTTTTTGGGGCTAAGTTAATATTTACGATTGCCAAAGATGCTTGTCTCTTTTTGTGTAAGGAAATGTTTATCCTTACTGACGGAATACAGTTTGACGTGTTGTGAATAAACATGTGTTAAACTGTAATTTGTAGATAACGAGTGACAAACATAGCTCTCTCTCTCTGGAGTCCTTTTTCTTCAACAACTGTATGAAATATGAATACGGGGGAACTGGCTCCATATGTCATATCCTTCAATTATGCTTCACACCCACCCATGACCATTTCCCAATTCATAAATATTTAAAGGGCCATTTGTTTTCTAGTTGGTGGGTGGGTGGAGACCGACTAATTATGTTTCTGTGATTTAGTGTGGTCACATGTTAGATATATCGGACCTCCAACTTTTCTTACCATTCACTCAAAAGGGACTTTTCGGAATAAGAACTGGGTGCGAGCGGCGAGCACACTGTCTGAACCACCTGACCTAACAAACGAAGATTCGTACAAAGTGCTAAAGGGGTTAGAGGGAGAAGCATTGAATGAAAAGAAATTATTTTCTTTTCTTTTTCTTTTCTTTCAAAAAAGAACTAAATATCGACCTGAAAATAACAGATGATGACGAGAGTTTTGTTGAGGCCTATAAACTAAAGTTCACATGCCACATAATTACACTCAGATTCCTACAACAACTTATTCCACACACTCCTCGTGCTCAATAACCATTGGGAATACTCTTAGCTACAAACCAACCACAGACTGCAAAGGGGCTCGCTCTTGGTTGTGCAAACTTTCACTCCTGCAGCGGCGCCGTTGGGAAATTCATAAACCGTCGTCAAGAATGGTGGACAACAACATCCCCTGAACAAACGCGCATCTTTTCGTCTTCTCTTCCTTATCCTTGATGGACAAAGGAGGCGACTGCACGTTTCTGTGACCAAATAAACGTGTCAGACCTAAGAAGCATACCGAGAGGAAAATAATAAAATTAAAGAACCTAGACCGGGTTTCATATGCAACGGAAGGCAAAATAGCATGCTCGTTTGTAGAAATTTGACAATATCGAGCGTCAACAATAACTGTATGGAGTTTTAAGCGTTCTTTCAGCCGTGTAGTTCAGCACGATATAGTATGCACGGAAAAAGATTGAGCATGTTTTCGCATGGAGCACAAACATATGAACACAACAAGAGTTGTGTGCAGTGCCCTCTCAAGTGATTAGTCAAAGTTCCTTTTTATTTGTTTCTGCAACATATTGCAGGCGCTCATGCATGACTAGTGTATGAAATTGCAAATGCGTCCATCGCAATTCGCAACCAACACTCATATTCCTTGTCCAAACTTCTTATACATAAAATGAGATTTAGCAAGAAATCATAACTGGTTAGGCACTCAGCTTGACCAAGGGTTACAAGGTCAGAATTAGAGCAAGCTAGAGAGATAGGTTTTAGGTGTCCCATCAAAAGGAGTTTAAGATTAAATAACGTACCGTTCTGATACTCTCTTATCTGAACTTTTCTTGGCCGAGCTTGCTTCAGTTGAGAAGGGCGGCATACTAACAAAATCATCCGCCATAGGCAAAATAAATTGTGACAACAATGGATCAGGCGCTGCATTGGATGAGGAAAGTAAACAGGAAGAGCCCCCAAAAAGAGAGTGCAAATTTCCTTCCCTTAGCTCTTTCCTCAACAAAGATAGAGTTGAATGAGCTCCACTTTTCCTCGTCTTCCTCTTGCGTTGCATGTAATTACTAGTTAAGGAACTCAAGCATTGGGAGAAATCTTCAATCTAATCAATCTTTGATAAAATGTATAATAAATCTCAGGGGTACGATGAACCAAAAGAAAACTGCCTTATGAGACCTTGTAACGTTCAATCAGAATTGTGGGGATATGGAGTATGTTTTCATGCAACAAATGGTAATGGTAAGGAGGGTAAATTACTAGTTTAAAGCATTAAGGACGCAGATCATACCATTACAATATACGTCAGATCCCCATAGGTAAGTTTTTTAGAATGAGCTGGCACGTGGAATACTGATAAATTTGCATTGAACGACAAAGTTGATTATGACAGAAAAAAGATAACACATAACATCTGCACAGATGACAGATCAACAGAAAAAGGATATCTTGAATATACTTCCATGTTGTAGGGTAATGTGCGCAACCATATCAACCCCCACCCTCATTGCACAAACCGGACATACCTGCAGATAAACAACGTTCTTTTTTAGTAAGATTAACCTCCAATAACCCATGCTCATTAAAATAAGAGAAATCTAACATCTAACAAATGCAACATCTTAGCAAGTTCATATAACTTGACCAACTACCTAATTTCCACTTCTCCCACCACCACATTACAAGCTCGTATTTCAACAAGAAAGCATTGAAATCAATTCTTCAAAGGATAAAATATCTCAGCTGTTTAAGAAGCTGGGATCGATGAGATTCTCTTGATATTCCTAAACAAATGGCTTTGAATTTAAGCATTTTGTAAGATATGATTGACTAAAGGTTGTCTTGTCAGTATTCCCTACTAAATGATGCTTGGATATGAACATACTGAGAGTTTACTCCTAATGTGAGTGAGACCAAACTATATTTGGTGTATATGTGTTTTGATATGCAAGTAATTGGACAAATATATACACGTCTTTGGCCTCACTTCTCAAGTTAGCATGTTCAACATACGCTCGTCCTATTGAGAGCAAGACCTGTAAGGAACTGAGAGAAGAGAAGATTGAAGTACGAAATCATTCAAGATGAGTACTTCTGCAGGTACGAACTCGTACCAATTAGGGTTAACTTCAGATTAGATGCTCGGACTAGTAGAACATGGTTTAATGGCTTTATTGGTTTCGATCCTTGCACACTGGTGTCTATGTGATGCTTTCACATATTTCTTTATAAAACAACGTATGCAAAAGATTCTCATGAAAAGTTAAATACAAACATCAAGTCGCATAATAATTTCAATCTATATACACCAAACAATTAAAAAGTACTCGCTTTCAGGATGAAACTAAGGAAATTAGGTACTGATAGATATGAAAAAGGATTCATACCCCATTCTTCGCCTCCACCGGGTGCTCTTCATCAATGTGGCAGCACAATCCTACAATGTCAAAGTATTCGGAGCAGAACGGGCACGGAAATTCCTCCCTTATATCATCATCCCCATCAATTTCTTCAAACCCCATGAGCATATCTACATTGCACAATCCCATGTTTCAATACGTGGAAAATCCATAAAATTGAAGAACTTTAATTAATCGGGGTTTCACCATTGAAAACCCAAAATTCTGATGTCAAAAAGTCTCGAGAAAGAAATAATGACACCCAAAGTAGTTGGATTCAGCTCAACTTGGTGAAATGTTATCATCACTAACTTTATTTTCGTGGGTCATAAAAATTTGGAAAAGAAAAAGAATCAAGCTTTCTAATTTCTCTCGTCTACCACTTACCACTTATATTCTTCAGATTAAAACCAAAACCCCAAACAAAAAATGATAAAAAATAAAAAATTCAGAGCAAAAAAAACAAAATCAATTTCCTTTTTGTTTCCCTACCAAAAAAGGCATTACACAAAAATCAACAAAAAATTAATGATCAAAACGGAAAAGAAATGAATGTGAGCTAACCAGATCGAGAATGAAGGGCGGATTGATAACGCCGAGAGGCAGAAGATAGACGAGCGCTCCAGGAATCACCGTCCATAGCTAGCCACCCTTTACGAATTTAAACGAAAAGGTAAGGTCTTTGGGGTGCGATTCGCCTTTGGGTCCGATCTCTCAGATTCAGAAACCCGAAGAATTGGGAATGGGATTTTATCGAAACGGACAAAAAGGAATCGGCTTTTGGGGTCGGTTGAGCTGGAGGATCCGAGGCTGACGATGGTTGAAGAAGGCGGCGACGGTGGCGACGGTGGTGATTGTGTAGAAAGAGGAAGGAGGAAGAGGAGGAAAGGAGGAAGGAAGAGGAATTTAATCTCTCCTACCAGTTTATTATCTATATCTACCTCTCTCTACGCTGTATATTTTCTGTATTTTTAGTTTTTTTTTTTTAATTTATTTGTTGGGGAGGAATAAATGGAACTTATTCCAGGTAGAAATGTGTGGTGAATATGACAAGTGGCCAATAAAATGAAATAACAGTGACACACAGAGGAGAGACAAATCCTCTTTCTCTCTCCTCTTTCTCTTTCTTTCTCTCTCCTCTTTCTCTTGGTGGCTGGCACACACCGTTTTACAGCTCGTTGTTTGTTGTGACTCTCCCTCCCTCACTCAACTCAACTGTGCTTTCATAGTCACTTTCACTTTGGTAGTTTTCATGATTTGACACGTGTCCTTATACCATAGACTCACGACATATTTAATTACGAATTTGCCTTTGAATTTCTGTGGGTTGTTCAGCGCTCAAGACTCTTTCTTTTGTGTTTATACGAAATATCTCTTTCCAATTCTTGAAGTAAAACTTAAATTTTAGATTTTAAATTTATCCTAATTTGCTTTAATTCTTGGAACAAATATGAGTTAAAACTTAAAACTCATTTATGGGCCAAATTTAGCCCAGGATTTCCCTCCGAGTTAGTAGGGCTGGTCTACCATATATGTATATTTTTTTTTATAGTTTTATATTTATAAATTCATTGAATCCAACTATTAATATATATTTTAATGAAATCCAACGGTAAAAAAATAAAAAAAATCTAACTATCCAAATTTAAATTCAACGACTAAAGTCATTAAAAAAAAAACTTTTATGTGTTTCATATTCTTTCATAGTATTTCACGAGTTTCATAGTGTTGGTTAGTGATTTTTCAATATTTGTCAGAATCTAAATATTTTTAGGTTAAAATGTTCATAAAATTAAATTATGATAGTCTACATAATTTTTTTCTTTTAAAAAAGTTACTTTAAGAAATAAAATTAGCTTAAATTCATTCTTAATAATCTAGAGCTAAAATTTTAACCCATAAGACCATCTCCAATGGTTGGGCTAAAAGTCAAATTTTTTAGCCCGAAAAATTTAGCCTTTAGTCCAAAAACAGCTTTTCTACTCCAACCATTTTACCCTAAAATTTTAGCCCGATATTATTAAAGAATGAATTTAGGCTATTTTTTTTGTTAAATTAAATTTAAAAAAAAAATAAATATGTAGACTATAGTAAATTAATTTTATGAACATTTTAATCTAAAAAAATTTAAATTCCGATAAATATTGGGTAGAGTCCACCCCGATTTCTGGGCTAAATTTCGGGGGGAATTTGGCATTGGTTTAGCATTTAGCATTTAGCTCAAAATTTCCCCTTGGGTTGGAGTGCGTTTGGGGGGAAATTTTGGGGGGTAATTTGGCTTTTAGCCCACCATTGGAGTTGGTCTAAAGGTTGGAGCAAAAAAAGTTGTTTCTAGTTAAAACCTAAATTTTTTGGGCCAAAAATTTTATGTTTTAACCCAAATGTTGGAGTAGGTCTGTTTTAACCCAAATGTTGGAGATGATCTAAGACCTACTCCAACATTTGGAGTAAAACTCAAATTTTAGGTTCTAAACTTACCTCAACTTGTTCCAACCGTTGGGGCAAATATGAGTTAAAACGCAAAACTCATTTATGGGCCAAATTTAGCCCATGATTCTCCCCTGTGTTAGTGGAATATATTTTTTTTTTGTTTTATATTTATAAAGTCATTGAATCCAACTGTTAAGATCTAATTTGATGAAATCTAACGTTAAAAAAAAAAAAAAAAAAATCTAACAGTCCAAATTTATAACCAATGGCTAAAGTAATTAAAAAAAATTATGTGTTTCATACTCCTTCATTGTGTTTCACAAGTTTCATAGTGTCGGTTTGTGATTTTTCAATATTTGTCGGAATCTAAATATTTTTAGGTTAAAATGTTCATAAAATTAAATTAGGATAGTCTACATAATTTTTTCTTTTGAAAAAGTTACTTCAAGAAAAAAAAATTAGCCTGAATTCATTCTTTAATAATTTGGGGCTAAAGTTTTAACCCATAAATGTTAAAACAAAAAAACTGTTTCTAGGTTAAAACCTAAATTTTATAGGCTAAATAGGTTTTAACCCAAGGGTTGGAAATAGTCTAAAACTCTCATGTACCATGCATGTGGCAACTTTTTTTTTTTTTTTTTAAGTTTTTAGCTAGACTGGTGCTATTTACGTATCTATTTTTACTTCTCACATGCTTCTCTTAATTTTGGACCGTCAAATAGAATAAATTGAACAAGATCAATAGACAAAAATTAATAAGGGTGTGTGTAAATAAAAAGCAATGTCTGAATAGCAATACTCTTTAGTTTTTATTTTTTTAAGAAAAGGCGATATATTTAATTTCAAACCTAGACAGGCTAAATAGTGTAAGGGGGCGGAGAGGTCCTCCTCAAGAAGATCACTAATAATAATAGGAGGTTCCTCACACCAAGTACAATCATCTCCCAAATGGAGGGTAAATCTAGCAAGTCTAATAACAGACAAGAAACTTTAGCAATAATTTGCATCAAGAACTTTGCATCCTTTATAATTAGTCCAACAAAAAATAAATCCATGGAAAACACGTTCAATACAGAAATAACCTGAAGTGAATCACTCTTCAAAATAATGCTTGACAACACCCTTCAGCCACAAAACCCTTTAGCTATTGACTTCATTAAATAGGCTTTCATGTTTAAGAACCTTTTAGCCATTGACTTCATTACATAAGCTTTCATGTTTAAGAACCAAAGTGAAACATCTCAAAAGTATAGGGGATAAATATGTAAATTGACTTTGACCAAATGGAATAAACTCTTTAATTCCTCAGGCCCAATAGGCCCAAAAATCAAAAAGCCCGCACCGGAAGAAGACACCGCGGTCGTAAACAACACCGGCGAACTTTCAAACCAACTGACGAAGAAGCCTTATAAATTCCAAATTCTCAACCAAAAAATTATAAATTCCAAATTCACCGGGGCCACGTGACTCGCCGTCCCCGCCACCCTCCTCCCCGGATCTCCGATCACGTGACCCCCGTCTCAGCCACTACCGGAAGAAGAATAACCCTTCCAATTTACCAGTTCATTTCCCTCATCATTCGCATGACAAGGCGCGAAACCAAACTATCTGATTGTCCGTTGGATCCATAGATTTTGTGATTGTCCAGTGCGAATCTGAATCAGGAGCTCCGTTTCCATGGCGACGAGGAATCGGACCTTGGTTTACAGAAAGTATAGGGATGCGTTGAAGAGCGTCCGCGCTCCCACGAGCTCCTCCGCTTCGAGCTCCGGCGCCGGTGGCGGCCCGGTCATTGAATTGGTCAGCACTTCCCTTTTGAATCCCAATCGGAATTATGCTCCGCTCAGTACTGAAGATCCCGGTAATTCAAGGTCTCTCTCTCTCTCCCCTCTCTCCTCTTCTGTGTATGTTAATGGAAATTTTCTGTTTAATTTAAGCTTTAATTGAAGTGTTTAACATTTAATGAAGTTAAAGTTTAGAGGAAAAACATAGATCAATAGCAGAAAAGAAATGAAAGGTTCAGATAGTGGAGAAAGAAGTCTTTTACTGGAAGTGTGCTGAATGCAGATTAGGTCACACTGAATTGTGATATTTAGAATCTTAGATAGCAAAATTGGAGGCTGGATTATTGTTTATTAGATCAGAGATATTGTAGTTTAGGCATTCGATATCGGGTGGATGATCACCAGGTGCAATGCAGATGTACAATTCAGAGCTTGCAGTGATGAACTTTTAGAATTTTAGAAGCAACGGTCCACGGAGATGATTCATTGGAGAAGAGCATTACGATTTGTGGGTTTTTCGTATTTGATTTTTTTTTTTTTTTTGAATAGTATCTACACTAAAGGGGGTGGGGGAGTGGGCTAAGCCTTACAATAGGCTTGCCATGATAATGTGGTTCAACTTCTCCTTTGGCGCGAATCGAACCTAAGACCTTCACTTACAAGTGAAGAGGAATACCACTAGACCTAGTATTAAGTGGCTCGTATTTGAATTAGTTCTAATATGTTTGCAATGTGAGTCCCTGAAATGGTTTGGTTCTCTTTGGACCCTGCTATGCTAGAAGGTTACTGAAAGCCTTTTAGTCAGTTTGAGACGTTCGTAATTACTGAAATTTGTTGCAAGAAATTGGGGGATTGGTTTGGTTTCAGGGGAACATTATCCTTTGGTCTTCTTATTAGTATGCACGGAAAAAGGCAATGAATCGGGTGCAAGTATGGATTTTTTTAATTTATTTCTGTAGTGTGAAAGTCATTGTGTTTTTATTGCTGCAGTCGGGGTGCACTTACTGTTGGTCTACCGCCAGCATGGGTTGATCTTTCAGAAGAGGTAGCAGCAAACGTGCAGCGTGCACGGGTAAAAATGGCTGAGCTGACTAAGGCTCACGCAAAGGCTTTAATGCCTTCTTTTGGAGATGGTAAAGAAGATCAACATTTGATTGAGAGTCTTACGCAAGAGATAACTAATTTGATAAGGAAATCTGAGAAGAGACTACAGAAGCTTTCTGCAGCTGGGCCTTCTGAAGATTCAAATGTTAGAAAAAATGTGCAGGTAAGAATTAGAAGCCACGAAATATTTTTGGCAGCGCAGTAAGTGATTAGGTTTTCCTTAGTCTTGTTTATTCCAGAGTGTTGCACTCTTGAGTGGGCGTTATCTATAATTCAAGTAATCCCAAAGAGCAGTGCTAATGTCTGCATGTTTCTTTTGCAGCGCTCTCTTGCCACTGACCTTCAGACCCTGTCAATGGACCTTCGCAAGAAACAGTCAACTTATTTGAAGCGACTCAGGCAGCAAACAGAGGTGCGAAAAGAATTTTACCTTTTAACCATTCAAGTCAGTGGATTGTTATACATCATACCCTTGTTTCAACATTCTGTTGTTACTCTGGCTTGATAATCTAGTTCATACGTAATCTTTCCATGTACTTTTTGGAACTTGGAATCGTGTTTCCGCGTTCAGTTTGTATACCGAGGGTAACTGTGTGATCTGACATGTAATTGGAAACTAGTTAAACTTACAGTTATATATTTTCAAACATTTCTTTTTTTTCTCATTTTTGGTGATACAGGGTCAAGATGGGGATGATTTAGAGATGAACCTAAATGGAAGTACATCGAGAATGGACGGTGATGATTTGGATGACATGGTAAGCTTTCTCCAGTTCATTACCATTTTCTCAAGATCTTGTCAATCACGACAAATATGAGTACACTAAATTCCCTATACAGTGTATTTGTAGTGTTGTTGAGTGATCAAATTTTAAGACATTTTTTTACCATAGATGATCGTAATATGATGATAATACACGCATCCTGTCAGATGTTTAATGAGCGTCAGATGGCCAAGATAAAGAAAAACGAGGCATTCACAGCAGAAAGGGAAAGAGAGATCCAACAGGCAAGTGAAGATCTTTTCGTTGTTTCTAAATTGACTGGTGTTGGATCATGCTTCTTCACAATTGACTAATACTCGTTTCTCTTCCCAATAGGTTGTGGAATCTGTGAATGAGCTTGCTCAGATTATGAAGGATTTGTCAGTACTAGTGATAGACCAGGTTAGTATTCATGTCCTCTCGATACATGAATTTCATCAGAAAATCAGCCATTAACTAAATATCGTTCTTAAACAGGGAACTATTGTTGATAGGATAGACTACAACATTCAGAATGTAGCAAGTACAGTCGATGAGGGCCTCAAGCAATTACAAAAGGTACCTTTCTTACATCAATCATCGTACTTCATCTGTATGTTTTCAGATTCTTTTCCGTGTTTGTTCTTGCGGAATATTATGTTTAACGGATGGTGGCTTACAGGCTGAGAGAACACAGAAACAAGGGGGAATGGTGATGTGTGCTACCGTACTCGTTATCATGTGCTTTGTCATGTTGGTCCTCCTAATCCTCAAGGAGATATTCTTTTGATCTACAAGCGAAAGGTCAGTTGATTCCTGATTTTGGTTTCGTTCTAATTGTCCTAACCCTCCCTTCGGACTTCTAAGCGTGCAAAGATGCCATCCGTAGCAGAAGATTCGACAAGTTTTGGAGTGCCCTAGTTACATATACTACTTCAAGTGACTATTTGTGAATTCCTACTAATTTCTGGGTATTACTGTATTAGTAGAAAGAGGGGAGGGGAAGGGGTAATGATTCATTGGGGAAGGACCGACCCGGAACCTGTATAGAGCTTAAGATCCACGTTCTCCTTGGGGAAGGGCGTTTTCATCGAAGGATCTACGTTGATTCTTCCGGTTTTCGTTTTCCGGGATTTTGTGCTTTCATTCCCCAGAACTCGTGTGTAAGACGCGGCGTTTATTTGTTCCATTACATGTTTTTGATCATTCAATATAGCGAAATACATCGATTTTAGCTTATATGTACGGGAATGATTTATGTCGCTTTAATTCTCTCTAGTTTTATTCAATTCAAAGGCGATGAATAATCAAGGGTGTGCAAGAGGTGAAAATAGCATGCGAAGACCAGTTCCTTGAAGTCGTTAATCAAGGAATTAAGGTTGGAAGCCGATAAGAAATCGCGCTAAGTAAGGTCAGCTATGTGATTACTACTGAAAAGATCTGCATATTTTCATGCAACAGATGAATGCCCAGAAGCTAACAAACATCGTCAATTCTAACGAGAAACGAAATAAGTAAAATTTCTCCATCATATAAATGTAACCAATAGAAATGGTATACCATCCGGCAATATGATTTGACTCCGACCCAACAACAAATCTTGAACCTGAAAACAGGACGACGAAGATTCAACAACAGACAACTGTAAGCAAGAACAGAAATCCTTCGACCGTCTGACTATAAAAACAAAGTTTGGGAGTTCCAAAACACCTCCGATCAAGTAGAGACATGTGAGACCAATATATGATATGACACCTAAAACAAATGAAGACGGACAATGACCCGACCACCGGAAATAACGACTCTCCAAGAAAACAACTCCGGTTCTTTCTTTTAATGTGTTGCTGATGTCCATATGATCAAACCCATGAGAGCCTGAACCGATTTAAACCAGCTGGTTCAAACACCTGAGCCAGCTACCCCCGACAACAATGAACCCTACAACAGGACTCGAACATAACATGACGCCTGACCTGACCTGGACCGGACCCGACTTGACTGGATTATTGCCTCGCTGAGGAATGCTTCTGCAATTGATAGAATAATACAATTCTAAGCATCAATAACACCGTCCACATTCCAAACATGAAATTATGGATTTGTGAAATGTGCATCACCTCTAGCCGAAGTTGAATCCACCAGATGGGACTGTTGGAACGTCATTCCCTACAAAGTTGAACGCAGCTGGAGCAGCGTCACCTGGTGGCATTGTCTCATCATCGTCCTCCAACCAATATGTCTCAAGCATCTTTACTGCCTTCTCATAAATCTCTGTGTTGTCATGACTCTGTAGACTTTCAATTTTCTCTAACCCATCAGCATCTTCAATCGCCTGAGCATAGAGATTCACACCCCCAGTAGTCCCCAGGTTCTTCTCGGCTTCACCAACCTTCAAAATGTTCTCCAGGCCCTCTAAACAGACTGTAACAATTCTAGGATCTGGGCAGACAAGAAGATCACAGAGTGGCTTGATACACCCTTGACTAACTAGAAACCTGTCAGCGAGAAGACAAATTCAATCAGCAGATAAGAAAGCTTCATGCCTTATATAGAAAAGTTAACAAGATTCTCTTCATACTTTATCTGTTCATGAGAACCGCCAGAAGTAGCATTTGAGATCGCCCATGCAGCCTCTTTCTTTATATCAAACTCAGCATTTTGAAGCAGATTAACAAGAGGACCGATTATATTTGCCTCAACTACAGCCTGTTTAATCCAAAAAGTAATTGGTAACATCAGTACCTCGGATGGAAAACTTAACAGAAACTCTAAATCAAGTTCTAAGTTTCATGATTCCACGAATGTAAATATATAAAGAAATTAGAAAAGCTTTGCATTACCCGGATCTGATCCTTGTTTCCGGCTGTGATGTTTGAAATAGTCCAGCAAGCTTCCTTCTTGATGCTCTTTTTGTAATTGTTAGTCAAAAGGTTCAGCAGGCAAGGAAGAGCTTGATGTTGGATGATAACCTAGGAAGAAACAACAGCTCATTAATTCCAAATGCAGAAGCAGAAATGTTACAACGGCAAATGGAAAATCTGTCTGTTATTCAAGTACAACTGTTCTCTCTTTAGCTCCATTTCATTTGTCTAGAGAGCAAAGATGTTCACCATTCTCTATAGGGGCAACCAAAAATAAGGGATTATATGCTGTTCCACATATCATCTAAAAACATCTACATGGGAAAACAAGGCAACTAAAAAGCCAAAGAGCAAACAATACCTGAGTTTGCATATCATCTCCAGTAACAATATTTCCAACCGTGCGGAGAGCAGGAATGAGAACAGAAGGGGATGGGTGCCTGGAACAATGCTTAGGAAGGTCAGAATTTTCAGAACATAACAATAAGGGAAGAAATACGAACAGGGAACTGTAAGCACCCACATTAAAAGCTCAACAAGCCGGGGGCACACTCCAGATTCAATAACAGCTTGGATTTTGTCATTTGTACCATCAGAAAGATAAGAAAGAGCCCAACAAGCATCAGTCAAGACTTCTTCATCGTTTGAATGAATCAAACGCGCAAGAGCTGGAAGGGCAGGCTTAACCTGAAACAAAAATAAAAATTGAAAAACTCAAACAGCCATTCTTGGTATGGACACAACCTGAATTGACTTCCCTACAATATGACCTATGTTGCCAACATATTACAATAGACTGTACCAAAGCCATATAACACCTAAGTGACTAAGTTCAGAATCTTTCAAGTTAAACATAACTAAGAAACCTTAACCTGATCAAATGGAGGCTGTGGTTTGCCCCTGCAAAAATTTGACAGTGTCCAAGTTGCATTTCTCAGCATAGAGAGCTTTGCATTCTCATTAAGCTGCGAAAGCAATGGAAGCAAAGCCCCATTACCAAGTACAAGATCACGGCATCTAGGGGAATCACCAGCAACATTTCCCAATGCCCAAACAGCCTGCAAGTTAAAGAAGGCAAAGGAAGTGAATAAATGACGGTCAACATCTACAGTAAATAAATATAAACTAGAAAAGAGCAACAAAATAAACCTAACAACTTGGAGCAAACCCTCAACTGATCTTCCCAATGTTTACCTGCTCACGAACATCATCACTCGGAGAACTAAGCAGTTTCACAAATATCGGAACAGCTCCATGATCAATTACCACCTTTGTATTATCAGATGTCCCAGAAGCAATGTTTGTAAGAGCCCAAGCAGCCTCAAACTGCAGAAAATTGTATGCAAAATTTTTTAGCATAGACATAAATAAGACGGTAATCAATAACTGAAACATTAACTAGCAAGTAACATACCTGAAGTTGTGGAAAATCCTCCCTCATTAGAAACTCAACAAAGCGAGGAACGACACCCGCTTGTATGACTTCCTCAATCGGAGGGCTACGTTCTAGCGTGTAGGGGAATATAACAATCAATAGGTACGCACAGTCTAATGTATGAAAGAAAGAAAAAATTGTACAGCCACAAACGTCTACTAACCAATTGAAAGCAACTTCCTAAACTGAGTTGTTGCCTCAAGCTGCAAACTGCCCTCATCACCCCAAACACCAGAAACCATGGATGGTAAATGCTCTAGCTGTATCAAAAAATATTCAACCACTATTAGTATTATCTCCAACAAGACGTCAAACCTACCAAAAGTTAAACCATAATTAACATGTTCTACAGGAACAAAAATAGGAGCATAGATTTTCCTTTCATTTGAAACTCTAGAACGTACCATAAAGTTTTTGTGTGGAATTGCATGAATCATTAATCAGCAACAAACACGACAAATAACCTCAACACAGTTCAGTAACTTCAAAATCTAAACATCTTGGAACCCTAAACAATATCTAAAACTAAGGCAAGGCTTAACTAAACAGCAACAAGTCGTGCTGCTAAAGTCTACTAAATAGAAAACACTCCATCCTCGAATGAAAAAAAACAACTACAGTAAAGCGAGTAATCAGCATGCATCTAACAACCGCTCAAAGGATTAAAACTATTTCCGCACCGATCACGAGCTCAATGATCTCATGATCGCCTACCCACAACTCCTAAGTCTGATGAACTCTCCAAAGAATCAAACCTAAAACCGACAGTTACTCGGCAATAAATTTCAATCGTATGCACTAAAATTAGCTTCCATTTCAGCTAAACGCCTGAATTAAAATTGAATGTATTTGATAAACACAGTAACCAATTAATCAATCCAAATCCAATAGAACACAAAGTGACCAAAAGCGTTCATTCATCTTAATCAGTAAAATCCCAATTTAACAAACCCTACAAATCAATTCGATCAAACCCCCAAATCAGCCAAAAATCAAACATTAGGTTTCACCTTCTTATCCAGACCGGAGGAGTGAAGACTGGAGGGAAACTGCTGAGGTTGAAGCCCCTCGCGGCGCTTCTTCTGGAGGCTCTCTTCTCTACGGTTCTTCCTGATCTCCACCATATTGTCCTCCCTCCGACGCCGTCCCTCCTCCGCGTCCACAGCCACCTTGTACCTGTTCCGGCGGACCTCCGCCCTCGCGTTCGGCCTCAACGACATCGTTTCAATTCAAATCAAGAATCGGAAACCCTAGGAGAGAGAGATAGGGTTTTAGCGAACAGAGGAGAGAGAGAGAGAGAGAGAGAGAGAGAGAGAGAGAGAGAGCGTGGGAGTGGGTTTGCGTTTGTGTGGTTTTTTTGAAGTGAGAGAATGATGGGGAAATAGAGACCATTTTTATAGCGTTAGTGGAAGAGTGCGAGGGTGTTGGGATTTTAGGCTCGGATCGGCACGTAATTACGGAGATTGCCACTCTGTTTGAATTTGAAGATGAGGGAAAAAGTGTTACTTTCTTTGGTCTTGGTTCGATTGTCCGATGATGGCCAATTGTGGTTTTTTACTTTCAAAACTGGACCCAAACCGGTTCATTGAGAGCTTTATTGTTTGACCCAACCCTAGTAAAGTGTCTCGAAATTGTCTGTCGGCTGGTTATTAAAGTCGATTGATCACGGATGTTACACCACGTGTTTTTATATAAGTTGTAAAAAAAATTATTTTTTAAGTTATTAACTTTTTAACACACATATCTCACCATTTGTATAATGACACGTGATGTATCATCCTATATACCGATCACAATGAAAAATTTCTCGTTAATGTGAATCAGTCGGATTGATGATGCTGGTTGATTGGCCAGTGATACGAACTGATTTATAGGTGTAAAGTCAAGTTGATCGGTTCTTGTTCGTCATGAAAGTTTTAGTGACTTTTGAGTTATTGATAAACGGCTGCACATGTCTTTTATGATTCCCTTAAACTTATTTCAAATGTACATACGCTGCGACAAGTATGAGTAAAACAATGACAGTAATATAATGCAAAAATGTATGCGCTCACTAAATTTACGTGACAGCAAAATGTAATCCAAAGTATATAGAAAAAAATTAATTATTGAAGATAATTTTAGAAACCCAAAATGAGTATGACAAACTGAGGTGTTTGACTTTCCTTGAAATTTCTTATAAGGTCAGAATTGTTTTATAGGAAAAAAGATTTAATATTTTAAAAATAATAAAAATCACTTCTTTTTTTCTTAATAGGAAGAAAAATAGACTTCATGGGCTTCTCTAAACCGAAGTTTATCGGTCCCGCCAACATGCCCAGTAAAAAAGAAGGCCCTAAAGAAGCCCATAGGATTATAAAGTAAACAGTGCGGTAATTAAACGATTGATAAACTTCGCTATTGTTAAATTTCACTATATTGTGCTTTTTTTTAATGGGAGTTTTATCGAAAAGCCAACGGTACTATTTATTTTAACGAAAAATTATATTTTTACACTAAAAGGTCAATACTGGTACTATTTACTTTACCCTTTATTTTGTCCTTATCATTAAAACTCAAAATTTTCAGGAATTTTCTTTTTTTTTAATTTCACTGTGTCGTGCTTCTCCAAAACTCTACTCAAGCTTTCAGATTTATTGTGATAGCTTTCAGACTACATGGATTGAAGCTCTAGTTATAATTTTTTTAATGATATTGTTGTGCTTGTTCTTCAAAGAAATATGAGCGTTTAGAAACGAAATTTAACTGTACACAAAACCACTCTTATGAAATTATGAGCCTAATAAATATACTTCTTCACAATGGCCTCGCACAAGATTTCCTTCTAAATTTTTTATCATTTGATTTTTTTTTTTTTAAATGTCTTTCTGTTCTTGATGAAATTTTACTGGTTGATTTATGCTCACTCTTGATATCAACTCATTCCGATTCTAAGAAAAGGTGAAGATTTGCAAAGAGCTTGTAACTCAAATAGTTAAACAGTATTACTCATGCATCTGAATTCTAGGTCGATTTCTCTTTTCCCCAGTATTGTTTGTATCAACAAAAAAGAAATGAGATATAGGACAAGTAATAAAATATGTCAGCCATAACGATTGCTCTCGAACTCGTCAAACCTAAAATCACTCAATTATAATTGGAGGAAAATATCACGAGTGAATCTAGCACCACTAGATTTTGTAGAGTCTAATAGGATCATAACATTTGAGGTTGGTGCAAATAGGGACATGATAACGAATGTAAGACACGAGTTGGGGATTGGAAGGGGGGGTCCAAGTAAAGCAACTTTGCCAAAATTAAGAGAATTGTTGATTGAAATCCAGTGTTTGTCCCACCTCTATCTCGAATCCAAACACACCAAAATACAACCACCCCACCAGATGATTCCATTTATATGGTTTTCATAGAACCAAATGCAACCTCACAACAACACCACACTTGTTCCAAACAAATACCGCTATTGGATTGAACCGTTCAAGAGACAGAGATGGGTGTTGGAGAAAGAGATTGTGTGTGTGGTTGGCTAGTGGAATAGGCTAATGGAAACCGCATGATTTAAATTGAATGATCCAAATTGCTGAATCTATGAGCTTCAGAATATAAGATCCGGAGAGGATCTTAATCTGCCTAACTACTGTGGGACTTGGAATTTTTGTCTTTTAGACAAATAAAATCCCTAGAATTTCGTCTAAAAGTAAAGATACCTTGTTGAATGATAGAATTTAGAGTAAAGTACAAAAAATTACCTCAACTATTTATGTCATGACACTTTCATACCTTATCTTTTAAAATTGACAATGTCATACCTCATCTTACGAATTTGTGCCAATGTCAGACCTCCGTCAGTTTTTCTGTTAAATGCTGACATGGGCAGAGATGGGAACCATTTTTTATTAAAAATTTAAAAAATAAAATAAAAAACAAAAAAAGAAAACAAAAAACCCATCAACCCGTGTCCCTTTTCCCCAAAAACCCAAATCCCCTTATCTGAGTTATCTCCCACCCAACCCTTTCTCTCTCCCATCTTTTTCTCTCTATCTCTCTCTCTCGCCTCTCTCTTTATTCTCTCTCCTTGCAACCTGCATCTCTAAAATCACAAAACCCAGAAATCCTTCCCACCCGTCCCCCCAACCTTCTTCTCTGATCCCACCGACGACAACCCTACCTCTGTCGTCGACTCTAGTGATGACATCCATGACCCCCAATCGCCCCCAAACCCTAACTCTAGCCACAACCTCCACAACAACATTCCCTTCTCCTCCTTGCCCTCGAAGTCTGCCCCTCCGGCGATTTGCGAGAGAAAAACAAAACAATAACAACAACAATAATCCCAATAGAAAAACTCTTCGTTTTTCCCAGAAAATTCTGATATTTTTAGAGAAAATCAGAGGAGGCGCGAGAAACAGAGAGAGAGTTGTGATCTGAGAGTCGCTCTCTTTGGTCTGAGTTTCCGATAAATTGTTTATATAGGCGGGTCGGATGAGGAGGAGAGAGTGGAGGTGAAGTCCATGGTGATGGGTTATAAGAGGGCGAAACCTCTGCACAATTTCAACTTGTTGTGGTATTTGAAATGGGGGAACCAGAAGCACCTGTGGTGCTAGAAGGAGAGCTATGACGCCAGCGGGAGTGGCAGGGAAGGGTCTGGGGTTAATCGGCCATCGTCGGCTTAGAGGATTGAGAGCTCGCCGGCGGTGATGACTCGGGTGGGAATGGTTTATGGGTTTTGGGATTTTAGGGATGCAGGTTGCAAGGAGAGAAAAGAGAGAGAGGCGAGAGAGAGAGGAGAGAGAGGGTTGGGTTGGGGACTCAGAGAAGGGGATCTGGCTTTTTGGGGAGGGGGGACACGGGTTGATGGGTTTTTTTTGGTTTATTGTTTATTGTTTTTTTTGGTTATTTTTTTAATTTTTTTAATATTTAATTATTTAATTATTTTTTAATAAAAAATGGGTCCCGTTTCTGGCCACGTCAATATTTAATAGAAAAAGTAACAGAAAAACTGACGGATGTCTGAAATTGGCACAAATTCGTAAGATGAGGTATGACATTGTCAATTTTAAAAGATGAGGTATGAAAGTGTCATGACACTAATAGTTGAGGTAGTTTTTTGTACTTTACCCTAGAATTTAAATGCAACACAATCTTGCCCTATGTGTCCGTCACTCTCCTCGCATGTCCAATCCCTATCCTTGCACAATGTTGACCTATGTGTCCATCACTCACACGTCCAATCCCTATCCTCACGCGACCAACTATTATGTACGGATGCAAGGGAATGACGTTGTATACACTTGGCTCTTGTAAGCAAATTTATTTCCCTTATGTTTTTTTTTATGAACAGTAGCTTGTTTAATTATCAATCTATTTCAAATGACCTGACATAGAAAACCACAAGCTGGTGCCTTAGTGGTAAATGATGGATCCTTTGACCTAAAAACTAGAGGTCTCAGGTTCGAAACCAGCTGCTGGTGTGGAAGCTATACTTGTGGCTAGGAAAAGGCTGAAATGTCTTTGTAAGTCTTCCCGAACCCCGAAAATAATAGATAATTGTAACTTGCCACCAATTGTTTCCCCTTAAAGAAAAAATGACCTAACATGCAAGTTGACAAGTCATTTTTCACATGGATGTAAGGTCTTGATGTCAATCTTTGCGATAGCCTTATGCCCAGACGTCTGTATCGAATTCCAAACACAACATAACAAGACCAAAGAGGCAAACGTAGTAGTAAAGCCCCTTATGCGTATGGTCATACAATGTATGTTGTGCGTATGACATCGCATTGTGCGTGTGATTGGACAACCATGAGTCCAAAATGCCGCACGAAAAAAATTACTTGTCATTCTTTTGTAGATTACCTCCTTGATGAAAATGAAATGGCCATAAGGGCTTTGACAATTGTAAACGTCTAAAATCATCGCATTATTTAGTGCGTATCAAATTGTAGATTGTCAGAAGAAGAGTAATCGATAAAATTTGATCCGCATCAAAATGCATAAACAATAAATTAAATTAGAAAAAGAGACCAACAAAAGAAACAAAAGCAAATAAAAATTATTACTAAGAGCACCAACAAACAAACACGTCACCACCAACAAACTGGATTTAACCTACACCAGCCTAATCAAATCACCCCCAATCACATCTTAATCTGGGAAATTAAGGAATAAAAAATGTTCAAATTCAAGTCCAGATTGAAAACGAAAATTAAAATAAAATACAATTGGGTGAGATATTTTAAACAACACGTTACTTCACATGATCGGGTACATCGCGCTAGCAGCGAGACGTGCTGCGCTTGGCTGTGCTAGCGTTACCTCTCGAAGAGCCGACACGTTGCTTCTTGTTCGCCGTTGGATTCATGTTGCTGAAGTCGAATCCCATCATCCCATATCCACCGACCATATCGTTGAACATCCCCTGGAGATCTTCGAAAATGTCCCCCTAAAATAATCAAAATCGTAATTTTTTTTTGTCAGATGATTGATTTGTTAAATTAAATATTAGATTAACGAGTTGACGGAATTCGAATTCAAGCAATGGTGCAAGGACAACACACCCCTCTTCATCACTCCACCACCCCTAGGTATAACTTGTTTGGATGTATTTTTAAAATGACTGAAAGCGTTTTTAATAAAAATATTTTCAAAATAAATCTTTAATAAAAATAAAAATAAATCTTGAAATATTACTTAAAAAGTATTTCCTGAAATACGTACATAACTATTGCTTCTTCTAAAAAAAACACTTACAGTACTTTTAAAATCCAAAAACATTTTTTCAAAAAACACATTCTAACAATTTTAAAAACATATACAAATGATCATCTTTGAGAGCCACTTGCATCAAAATTGTAATTAAACACCCCGAAATTTTTGTTTTCAATCAACTGACATTACCATAATACCCCTTGACAAATGCGTAAAGGATAGTTTATTCCTAAAATTACAACATTATCCTTACCTCGTCTTTCACATTGTTCATCATGGACAGCATTTCGTCCATGAAATCGCAAAATTCCTGCCAACAAATTCACATAAATTCAGGGACATAAAAGGAAACCAAAAAAAAGTGACGTAATTTTTTTCTTTTTCTTTTCTTTTCTTTTTACCGCGCATTCCGTACGGTGAAATATTTTTAACGCACCTGGTCTTCCTCTTCAAGGGGGTCGTAGAACCCGGCGTCGTACATTGATCGCTTCGTCTGATCTGAGAGAACTGCGGACAACCAAAACGGCATCGTTAGCGCGAAAAAAGAGCAATTCAAAGGTTACTAGGCTTTTAACTAACGACGTCGTTACGAACGAAAAGTGGCAAAGTTACCGGAGTAGGCCTCTTGGATTTGCTGAAACCGCCGGTTGGCTTCTCCCGCCGCCGTCTGGTTTCGCGCCCTATCCGGATGCCATTTCTTCAAATTAAAAAAAACCAAAAAATTCATAAAATTACCATGATTTCACAAAAATTCAGCTTTTCTAATAAAGAGAAACGACGTCGTATGGATTTGCAGAAAACAGAGAACGATGCATTTTGAGGAGGGGGAATTACCAGAGCGAGCTTGCGATAGGCGGCGCGGATATCAGAGAAGGAGGCGTCCCTGCGAATCCCAAGGACGGCGTAGTAGGAAGATCCGCCGTTGGATCCTCCTTCCTTATCCATCGCTCCACAAACCCAACAACAATAAATAATCAAAAATCGAAAAATAGAAAGTAAAATTCAAAAAAAAAAAAAAACAGAGCCTGCGAAGGAGCTTCGAGAACAGCAAGCTTCTCTCTCAGACCATGGCGGCAAAAGGAGAATTGTGTGTGTGTGTGTGTGTGTGTGAGAGCCTTTCGGAGAGAGGAAGAAGAAGAGGAGGCTCTCTGCGTTTCTCTCGGTTTTTTTTAGTGGCGACTTTTGTTTGGAGACGGACAAAATATCTTGGTTACAGATACGGCGGGGAACGTTCGAGAATTTCTTTCCGTACCTGCAAACTGGCTCCGTTTGCCAGGTGGCTAGATATTTTCTTTTGGAATATTCATAAGGGCCTGAAGTTAAGTTGAATTACGGCCCTCTGCCATTGGGCTTTTTTAATAAAAACGCATAACAAATAAAGATACGATTAATTCTTAGATTTTTCGGTAATCGGTAGACGGAAGAGGACATCACGTGTTAATATGTAAATAGTGAGATATGTGTGTTAAAAAATTAATAATTTGAAAAATAAAATTTTCTACCATTCATATTAAAACACGTAATATACCATTTGTATTCCTGTCGCAATGAAAAATTTCTCGTTCAACAGACTATTTGCACATCACGTGACGTCGTTAGTCTGATTCACTTATTGTCTGTTTGCTTTTACATTTCTCTTGGGCATCTACTTGTGCTAGCATCTAAAATCCACTTACATTGATTCTATAATAAGCTATTGACATTGTGCACCACGTGGCGCTGTAGCTCGGTTTATTAATGTCTGTTTGCTTTTGCGCCTTACTTCTGCATTTACATAGTTGGCATCTTGAATTAGGAAAACATTTTTGCTTATTACCATTTAATATGATATATGCTTACTATTCTATTTATCATCATTAGATGAGTTTAAATTTTAAAATTTGTGTAGTGGATAAGCACAAATCTTAAAATTCAAACTTATCTAATGTTGATAAATAGGATGGTGAACATACACCATATAAATGATGGTGAGCAAAAATGCACTCTTGAATTAGTGTCGTCCCGCTTACTTTAACAAACTAGCATGCACCACGTGGCGTTGCAACCATCAAAGTAACAACTAAGTAAGATACATAGAAGTAGTAATTTTTATACTGTATTTCTTTTCAGAAGCCAAATTTTCATTTCGATACTAAGTACAATATATGTACAATATGATCAATTAACTGCAGGAAAGTAACATGTACAATATGATCAATATGATCAATTAACTGCAGGAAAGTAACATGTACAATATGATCAATTATTAACTGCAGGAAAGTAACATGTACAATATGATCAACCAACTGCAGGAAAGTAAAACCAGTGAATTACTTATGACTTGTTTGAAAAGTGCTTTTAGACAATTGAAATCGCTTTTAGGGAAAATGTTTTTAAACTAATCTTTAGTAAAAATGCAAGTTAATTATGAAAAAACACTTGAAGTGCACTAGTTATATACTTCTTGCAGGAGGCACTTCAAGTGCTTTTAAAATCCAAAAATATTTTTTTAAAAAGTGTTTTCAGTCGTTTAAAAGCACTTGTCAAACGAGCCCTAAGCTTAACACATCCAGGACTAGGAGAAGATTTTTACCCCTTTTACTTCTAGGTACTTGCCTTGATTATCCAGCTAGCAAATAGTAATTAACAAACTAAACCAGAGAAGATGAAACTGCATGTCTTCTAGTAGTTCAGATACACAGGAGGACGCCTTGCCATTCTTTTAGCAGCCACATCCCTCCTAACCGAAACCGACCCCTTAATGGCGGCACGAAGCTTGCGCCAGCTTGCCCTGGGTTTCCGTCTAGTCCCTGCGCTACCGAAGCAGAAGCCGCCTGCTTGTCCCCATGTTGGGTTTGTAGGGGAACAAGTTGCTGCTTGAAATTGGAAAGGGTTTTCTGTGCCTAAAAGTCCAGTTGGGACAATTGGCGCCTCAAAACCACCGAGAGGCGACCAACTGCTTTCTCCGTTGCACATAATGTAGTTAAGATCCTCCATCGAAAAGCTGCTGCTTCGGAGTTGTATTGGCTGGCTAGGTTGTTCCACAGAAACCATTAGCTGATTGCTGCTACCTTCTGCTTGGTAGGGACATGAGGTTGAAGTTGATGCATGGTTGGAACCTAGTTGTTTCGGGAGTTCATCTGTGAAAAAATACTTGGTTTTTAGTTACTTGGAAAAGCACAATAGTAAGGCAAAACATGCTATAATGTTAAGATTTCAAAGAGACGACCAACAGACAATACTAATCAACAACGATATTGTCCCTGCGTCTGGATTTTATCTTATCTGGTTTCCGATGTGGGATGTTACATTCTTCATCATATAATACCATTTACATAACGTAACATTTTACCTTGATGTGTTAACTGAAATTCACTTTGCCGCAGGTCAGGGTTTGGACAAGTGAATGAATCAGCTTGTAGAACTGGCAAAGGCTTCGAAAGGCCAAACATAGTCGAAGCATCAACGGGCTCCAAATCTCTTACATTTCGATAAGCCTGCTGCTTCAAAGCTTCCACCAGCATCTGCAAACAGGATTGGGGAGCTCATCATTTTCTTAGCACTAATGAATATTTTAAATTTTGATGATTTAATCTATCAGTCACGCATCAACTCTTTGTCTTCGGAACCAAGCAACTGACAAATGAAGGAAGATCAAGAATACGCGTACCTTCTGATGCGCGTCGAGTTCATCCAAAGAACAGAACTGGCCATTGAGTATTGCCCCTTCAAGCCCGTGGATGGAATTGAACAGGAGACTTTCGTCCTGCTCAGCTCTGTGGTAGGCATAGAACTTATGATCATCCAACTTACAGGCCATAGCATGCTGTACGATTCTTTCCCATATCTTGTTCGAGATCCCACGCAAAACCTACATTTCCGCAGCAGAAAATTAGACATACATATTAAACTACGGGTATAAACTACTCTAGGCACCCAACTTGGCAGACGAAATGATTTTCTTACATTTCGTAGCGAGGATGCATCTTTCATGTACGACTGCAGGAAGTCCTCCACGGTGCTGATTCCATTCTCGTGGAGTCTCTTATGAAGGGCACCGTCTTTTGATATCTTTTCCAGGCGCCATATTTCGTCCTTTGGGTGTGGGGGGTGGTGTTTCTTATACACTGAATCATCATTTTCTATGTCAGTTCCATTTAGTTCAATGCCAAAACAGTTCACAATTTAGGAAAGATCAAGATTAGTGAGTTAAGGATTGTCTTTATAAACTTACATTCTCCGCGGTGATCTTTAACCACAAACGGTTCACTTGTAGCTTCCCTAATCCGAACTTCACTCCGAGCTTTGGCAACAACTCGAGCTGCTAGTCTGAACTTTCGGCATCTTATCCAGCTTGAGTTGTCGGTAAACATGACATCACCGAGAGAACCAACTCCCTCTTTCAGTGTAACATGTCTGTCACCCGTCACCAATGGCCTTTTGCCTTCCCTTTCGCGCACAATGTATGTGTTGAGTTCTTTTTCGGTCCAATCGTCTTGATCATCTGACCCAAACTCACCATTCAGCACAAAAAGTTCAACCTTTAGTGAAGATAGGGGACCGGAATGGACTATAGCACCAGTACTGGCATCAACCAGTTCAATTTGAAGAGGCTCGCGGTTCTCTGCTTCCACTCTACTGCCTGTGAATATGGTAGTTGGCAGCTTGTTGATAAAACGCAACTGCAAGCCGCTTCCTCCAGATGTACTCCCACTTTCGTTTGAGGGCCTGTGACAAAATTAACAACAAATCCAATATGAATCTTACAAGAAACAATTTGTGCAGTATGAATGTAGCATCGATACGCTGCGTGTTCATCGGAATATATCAGTAATTGGAAGCTTTGGTGACTAAAAGCTAACCTTGGAGATGCCATGAAGAAGGGAAGAATATGGCCCTCCAACTCATCTCGCACCTATATACGACAAAGATACATGAACAATGAACTCAAGAGACCTCACAAAAAAAAGATTTCGAACAAATTTGCGTAACATATGCTCCTGCATAAGTTCTAAATGGCAAAAACCTCGTTTAAACGGTCAAACATATGTTTTTGTTTTCTATTACAAGAGGGCTAATGAAAAAACCTAACCTAACAGTCAATCCTAGCTTTTTTGCAGCAGTTACTTAAACCGTCGTCCTAATCGAAGGCAATAAACTTCCGAAAACAAAGCACAGTAAGCCTAATAAAACATGGTAACCATGATTACTGCAAACGGTTCAATATTTAACTTCTGAGTACAAACTAAATGATGTGTCACCAATAGGAATAAGCACGCTTATCAATGTTTACATAATAAACGAATTATCAACTTCCATATTCTTTAATTTTCAAAACTTTATCTCCAAATTTAGTTATCCTAGCATTAACCCTTAACTTCTATATTGCTGCGTAACACACAAAAACTATCACTATAAAGATTTCTTAAGTCTCAAGCTTAAGCTTAGATTCATTCGTATGGACAAGAACGGAGATTCGAACTTACTATTCTTCGAAAGAAGCGCTCCAACTCGCCATTCAGTCTGGCATCCCTCATCGCATCCCTAACAACACTGCACAACAAACATCATAAAACCCTAAAGTCGAAAAAACCAACTCAATCAACCGGAAAAGCACTAAACTTATACTCAAAACTGAACTACCTACTTGGCAAAAGTAGGTCTCCTTTTCGATTCGTCACCCTCGCCACGAAAGTGCCTGTTGAAGTTCATCACGCCCGAAAACAGCAGCTAGCAGCAAGTTGGGTTTAGTTTCTAAAAAAGCACGTAAGATTTCGAATTAAACGCAAGGAATCAACAAACTGCTCAGTGGTCCTTTAAATACAAAATCTTGGATTCACCTATCGAAGACAGAAGGTACAAGGAAGGTTCGTAGTACTAAAGACAGACACGCTATACCTTGAAAGTCAAGCTACGATTAGCTCATGCTTTAAACTAACAAAATCCCAAAATTTGGATTAAGTTATTAATACTTTTAGATTATAACAACGTTGCATTAGCTTTTATAGGATTGAACGATGACTGTCTGTAGTTTTTTTGTCTCACTTTTTATGAAAAGCAGAAAAGAACACATATTTTCAAGATTTTCAGGCGTTGGAATTTCAGATGGATAACTAATCGGACGCGTCATGATTGAAAAGTACTGAAAAATACACAGTATATTCCAAGAGATACGGGACAGAGAGTGAGAGCGCTATGTTTGTTGTGTGTGACTGGATTAAGAGAGAGAGAGAGAGACCACGTGGATAGAGACTAAACAAATTAAGAACAAAGCGTGTGAACTGTAGATGATATGAAGGGTGCTAGAAGATGCAGAAATACAAATTTTTCCATGAATACGCGTTCCCATTTCTCTGAAATTTGACCTGAACTTAAATTTCAATTTCCATGCAAAACCCAGTGGCAAGAATTACACTGATCTAATAACATGTCAATACGCTACGTTATTCAAATATATTTGACTGACTTCTCAAAACCATATCTAATAACTTGAAAATATAATTACCTGCAGGCCTGCAGCTTCCACTAAATTTAGTGTGTCACGATCTTAGCTGTCCACCTGTAAAGGGTTGACTTGTATTGTGAATATAAAGGGGTTCTCTCTCCTCGTTCCACAAATTTTTTTCTTCTTTCTCGCTACAAAGATGAAATCTTAAACGTTTAAACGGGGAAAAAAAGAGGAGAAAAATCTTTGTCCAAGTAAGAGACCGTTGAACTTGAAACTTGAAAGTTTGTTCACTTGATTGACTTGTAGTTGGTGGAGATTGCATAATGCAGGTTCTGCGAAATTTTCTGGGAATCCAATTTTCCGGGAAAATTCTAGGAACCTCTATGGAGGTGGAGCTGGAGACTTGCGATTCCCCAAGTCGTCCCCGGACCCAGGAAGATTTTTTTATCTAGTGTTCTGAGTTCTGATGCAATCAAAGCATCAATTTTGACCAACCATATTTTAATCTACATGTTTAAGCTCCTAATCACAAAATGTTACACTGATTTAATACTTGAAGAATCAAATTTATAATTAAGTTCGTCAAATATAACAACAAATATGAGTTTAATTAAGTTAGTTAGAACAATGTGATTGTACCATCTGCACTTGTTTTTAAATTTATCTTGTCATAATTAGATGAATATCGTTATTGTTTGTCAAAAAAAGAAATCAAATACGACGAAGATTAGTATAGGGTTTATCATTTAATTATCAAAATTAATCAATGTTGTTAGCCAAAACTCAAAAAAAAAAAGGATACTGAAGAAAATAAGAAAATCATATCCCACTAAATTCATGCACAAAACACATCACGTAGATGCCTTAAAAATCCCAAATCGACATAAATAGCTTTAAAAAAAGGGATTTTGCAACCAAATTAAAAAAAGGAAGAAGCTTTTCTCGATTCGTACCAGTGCGAATTTTCCCACCAAATCAAAAACCCAGATACCAATTGCTACCAACAGCAATGGCGTCTCCTACGCCGTACGCACCAACCCTTTCGACCCTCTTGGCAGCCATTGACATGGGGACCAACTCCTTCAAGCTGCTCATAGTCCGAGCATACCCAGACGGCAAATTCTTCACCGTCGATCAATTTAAAGAGCCGGTGGTTCTCGGCCGCGACACCACATCATCATCAAACCCAACCCCTTTTGTCCTCTCCCATCATTCCCACCTCCTTGCTTTCGAATCCCTAAAAAAGTTTCAGAAAATCCTGAAATCCTACAAAATCGAAAAAACCAACGTCCGTTGCGTCGCCACCTCCGCCGTGCGCGAAGCCGTGAACAAAGCCGAGTTCTTGGAACGCGTGAGGGAGGAGGTGGGTTTGGAGGTTGATGTGCTGCCGGGTGAGGAGGAAGCTCGGCTGGTTTATCTGGGTATGCTGCAGTTTCTACCGATATATGAGAAATCGGTGCTGGGTGTGGATATCGGAGGTGGGTCTACTGAGTTCGTGATTGGGAAGGAAGGAAATGTCGTTTTTGGGGCTTCGTTGAAGCTGGGGCATGTGAATTTGACCCAAAAGTTTGGGGCCAGTGAAGGGAATGCTGAAATTATGAGGCAGCATATCAGGTCGGTGATTCAGGAATTTGGGCTGGTTGAAAAGATTCAATCTTGCGGCTTTGATGTGGTTGTGGGATCTTCCGGTACGATCAAGGCCGTTGAAAAGGCGGTCCGTTTCGGGTATGCCAATATGAGCAATATGCTGCAGGTAGGCAATTTGGTTTCTTTTGGGGATGGAAAGAGGGACTGGAAGTTGAGTAGAGGAGAGGTGAAGGGTGTTGTGGGGAGTTTGTGCAGCGGAGGAGAGGCGGAGAGGATTAGGAGGGAGAAGTTCTTTGAAAGGCGGTCGGAGTTTATGGTTGCTGGGGCAGTGCTTTTGGAGGAGATATTTGAGATGATTGGAATCGAGGAGATGGAGGTTTCTGGGTATGCATTAGCAGAAGGTGTTATTGCAGAGAGTTTGGCTAAGGGTAATGAGGGTTATGATTTGAATGCCAATCGAAAATGGTCTTCGATTGCGAGGCTTGCTATGAGGTTTAATGGCAAGAAGAGGATGCAAACTGCTGCACAATGTGCTGGTATTGCTAAGGTAATCAAAGTGAATTGAATTACTTGTTTTTTATTCCTTTCTAAAGTGCTTGTGAGATAAGCAGAAGCTGGTTCTGGATAATAGAGATCAGTTGAATGTAGAACTCAGTTATTTTTTTCGTATTGTAGAGATCATTCGAATGTAGTTGGAGATGAATTGTATTGCAATATCCAGTGTTTTGACTTTTGAGTTGATGTTTTTGCAGGAAATTTTTGAAGGTTTGAGAAAATGTGACGACCTTACTAACAATCAAGTTGCTGTCTCCCTAGATGACAAGGATCTTGAATATCTTGAAGCTGCATGCTTGCTTCACAACATTGGGATTTCCGTCGGGAAAAAGGGTTACCATAAGCATTCTTATTCTATTATCATGGTAATACTGTTCTCCAATTAATAATTCAATCAATACGCATTGAGAAAGTTTTATTTGCTATTATATAATCTTGATGAGCTACATCGCTTGTGTAGAATGGCGATCATCTTCATGGTTATAGTACCGAAGAGGTCAAGGTATGTCAAGTGTTTATTTGTGTGCTATGTCATGGTGCATACTCTGTATTCTGTATAGTGATGACCAATTGGTGAATCTGCAGCTGATAGCACTACTTGCAAAACACCACCGGAAGAAATTACCAAACGTTGATCATGTTTCCTTCAAGGAGTTGCCAGAGGAGGTATCATCTTATCTAAATATATAAAATATTGCGGGAACTTTAATTGTTTGTGCCATTATGTTTATTTGTGGATACTTCTAATTTGTCATCAGGGAAAAAAGAAATTCAAATTTCTGTGTGCAATTATCCGTACTTCTGTTGCACTCCAACAACATCAACGCATAGATTTCCAGCAACTGGAATTTTCACATTTTCACGAAGGTTTTAGACTGGTATTCTCCTCTCTGGTTTTCAGTTGAACTTTTTCTCATAAAGTAGGGTTCTTCTTCTTTGCATTTGTGGAATTTCGTTATAAAACAACATGCCTGGAGCATATCCTGTTCTATAAACATAGAAGTAGTATTTGTGTTTACTCTTGCAAATAAATATACCCATATTTGTATCTGCTTCAACTTCTTGTGGCCAAGGGAGAAAATAAAACATTAGGTGCCGTTATTGGATTCTTTCAATTGATGGTATGAAGCGCAATATTGATTTAAGAAGACAATTAGACTGGTGTGAATATTGTAATGGTAGGGACATCAAGATATCAATGCGTTCTAACTATCACATCCGCTTGCTCAGTCTGTAAGCTTTTCATTGGCTTTGTAATTTTCCTTGTAAAACAGAATGTGCGGAGAAGCTGGAAAATGTGATAGAGATTTTCATCGATCATAGATTATTGACTAGCTTAAACCTTGATGCTGGTTTAACAAAACCAATTATTTCTGGAGTCTGGCTAACTGTAGCATTGATCTTGCGGTTTTTCCAGACATGCAGTGGCGTAAAAGATCAAAATTCTCCACCTGACATAGTACGGAGTTTAGCTGAGGATATTGGAGATGAACTAAGGCAGGAGCTAGCACACTTTAAAATGGTAATTTTCTTAATCTTCCATTTATATTTAAAAATTTCTTATGGAACTGCATTGTCATCAAATTAATGATATGGACTTATTTTGTTGTCTTCAGGTCTTCCACAAAGAACTGTTCATTGTCGCTCCTTCAAGTGCTTCAGGATGATCTGAGAGAGAAAGATATATGCATTAGATCAAGAACCATGCTGTCTTTAGATCCATATAATCCATAGTTCAGCCTACACAAGGGCCATGCTGTCTCTAAACCGTAAAACCTCTTAATCCTTTTGCAATTGAGATTTAAACTTGATTAGTGATATGAACAGTTTATGCTGTAGAATTTTAGTGATCCGGTAGTAAACCACAGTTTTTGATTGAGGGAATGTACAGGCATTCAAGCCATGGAGGGAGGAAGGACAGTTATGTTGCCCAAGCGGAAGGATTGCTCTTATGAACCATCGCCAATTTGCCACATAGCTCGTGGGCTGAAATTTGGTGTCGATGCAGACTCAGTTTGGTGTCGTTCAACTGAAATTTGGTGTCAACCAAGTTACCTACTAACTCATTAAGCAATCTCATGAGTCATGAGTCAGTTTTGGCTTTCTGTTGTTTCCTCAAGCACAACAGTGTGATGAAAATTTTTGAGTGAATCTTTCTGATGTTGTAGTTCTGGAGGTCATTCAGATGTGATATATGTTGGGGATTTGGAATCGGGAACCATATCAGAGATCTAAAGCTGGCTTAAATATATGATATCTGTTTCTAAGACTAAAATTTATGCATTTAGCCGTCTCGGTGGAGAAATTCTTGAGTCCGGCTATGACCCCATCCATCCACCTAGTGTCACACACAAGAGTGGGACTCTCTTATATTTTGGTCTCACATGCCCTTGTGTTGGAGACTAACTTGTATAGCACGAATACGTCACCACAATAACATCCTGTGCCAATAATACAAAAACATGTATTAGTTTTTTTTTACATGTCATTGTATTGTTGGGACGTGATGCTACCATAATAAACTAGTGCATGGGATCCCCCATAATATGATTTATCATGGGCATCGAGTACTAAGTAGGGTCACTGATGGGCAATGTCCGACATTTTAAAGGGAATAATATTTGGCTACTCAAAGAAGGAGTAGGAGTTTCTACTCAAAATTGTTCGTTGTCAATTTATAGAATTCCGTTTTTATAATTAGAACCGTTCATATTATAAATCACTCTATAAAGATTCTCTCTTCGAAAAATCAATTAAAATTAAGGTCATTTAGTCAACAAACCGTCTATATATTTGCTAAAATAGATTAATTAAACGATCTTAGTTTTAATCATTTTTTACAGAGATAATTTTTACAGTGTGATTCATAATATGCATGGTTATGATCATGTAATTCGAAATTTCGAACATGAAAATTTTTGAGTAAGAGTTTCTGCTCATCTTTAAGTAATTAAGCATTGTTCTTTTTAAGGTCCTTTGTGTTGTTCCAAAGGCCGAACGTCATTAAATAGGGAAGTGAATAGCAAACCATAGTGGGTGAAATTAATAGGAACATGCCCATCCCACCCAAGTTCCAACCCAATTTGTGACAATAATCCATGAATTGGGTGAGGACGCAATAGGAGACATCTAGACATTAGGTACCTTTCAAGCTGAGTCCATGACATAATGTGGGACTTCAAGAGTTTCAATTCGGGATACTTTTTCGTTAAAATTGTAAATTTCACATTTGAAAATGGAAGTATCGCCTAATAATTTAAATCTCTCTTATTATCAATTGATTTTAGAATGAATGTTTGCAATCTAATATGGTATCAAAACAGATTATCTATGTGTTGAACTCAACGAGTCATGTCTAACATCATTTAAACCTAACACGTAAAAAAATATTACATACATCTAGTGACGTGGAGGAGTAAGTGTTGTTCTATCCATAGACTTTTAATAATTGAGCTCCGAACCAGACGAAATCTTAAAACCAGTGATAGACAAGTTTTTCTCTTGTGTATGTTATATTCTCTCTCCAATCCCACCTAAGTTGAAGGTATTCGATCGGATTATAATCCATCCATTTGCGTCCTTGTCCTTAGGTTATGGTGGCACTTTTGTTTTCTAATCTCCAATCATGAAACAATATACAATGCAGATTGAGTAGCAGGAAGTAGGAAGTAGTAGGGTTCATCACTATACATGAAATCCTTAGCATATATATTCCTAGTGCCTTTTATCTTTTCCCAGATTAAAAATAAAAACTAAAATTTTATGAACTGGTTTGGAAGTGCTTTTTTTTTTTTTTTTTGGACAAAAGATATTATCTACATTAAAAGAAAGGGGTTGGACTTAACTTTACAATGGGCTATCAATAATGTGGTTCGAATTTGCCTTTGGTGAAAATCGAATATAAGATCTCTCCCTTACAAGTGAAAAGAATATCATTATTAAGTGACAGAAGTACTTTTAAAATAACTAAGAATATTTTTTATGAAAGTCTTTTTGAAATGAATTCTTAATATAAAATGCAAGTGAATTCTAAAAGCACATAAGAAACATTTCAAGCGCTTTTAAAACTCAAAAACAATTTTATTTAAAACACTTTTAGTCAGTTAAAAAACACTTTAAACGAGCTCTTATTCATTTTGTATTGAAATTAACGTATATATGTGGATAGTGACTAAGGTAGGGTACAACCCAACAAGATCATATTCAGATCCTTTTGGTAAGGATCTTAGAAATTCGTAAATCGTGTTCATTCATCGTATATTATGCGGTTAGTTTTTGTTAAATATTATTTATATTTATTTTTAAATAAAAATATTTAAAATAATTTTTAACCTATGAACGAACAAGATTCATGAATCTCTAAAATCCTCACAAGAGAAACCGGACTTGTGCACAACAACGGATGTAAATATGGTAAAATGGAAGGAGGCAGATTCTCTGCTTTCCCACTTCTCGTGCCCTTTTGTTTTGTGTGGTCACGGTTAAGCTACGTAAGTATTTTATATTTTTTTTATAGAGATAATAAGATAAAAAATAATAATAATATAAAATATTAACGTGACTTAACTATCATCACATAAACAGAAAACTATAGAAGGACACACGAAATAAGAGGGCAGAGAATCTGCCACTAAAATGAAATCGACATGTACAAAGTGACAGGTCATGTAAAATGCATTCGTACGTGAACACTGTACATGACCTGTCAACTTGTGAAGTATGGTCCAACAACTCTTTAACGCTTGTGCCCTCATTACGATACGTGTCAGCATATGCCCTCAGAGGTCTCGGGGCCGAAAAGGTCAAAAATGGGTTGTCAATTGATTTTTTATTTTTATAGAAAAGTCAATTTGATTTTTTAGATTGAAATAAAAAAAATTGAGAATCTCTCCGCCTCCGTTGGATTTAAATTATATAGTTCTCATTAGCTCATTTTATTAGTATTTGGTAGACTACAAATGCATCGTTATGATTTGTAAAATTGAATTTTCAGAATCATCACTAAAGGCCTAATTAAAGTCATACCGTAAAAAGTATACATTCATTTGAGTAATGAATAAGGTTATATCAGTACATCATGTTATGTTAAAGTTCCGTTACACTAATCAACAACTCTAGTTGATCGTGTGAGAGTTAGCAATTGTTTTCTTGGGAATTCATAAATCATTTTACAGAGATACTTCAATGATTGTGTTGATTAAACCAACCTAAAGAAGGTACTATTTAGTATCAAAGACAATACAAATACGTGTCTTTACTTTCATGTGAGTCAAACTTGAACTCACAAAATATTTTGGGAATTGTTATTGGTAATTAAAAAAATGTCATTTTGCATTTCAAACTTTCTATAATTAAAAAGAAAAATACACTTGTGATAAGTGTAGAATAAGATTTTGAAGTACTAATAACAGTTATCAATATTTTAGTGAATAGAAGATTCAAAGTTCTTTCTAAGTACAAACGATAAACAATACTAACTTGTAACTTCTCTCACAACGTAGTGAACTGAAAAGAAAGATTATACCATTAGAGCAATCCATTATCTGCAAAAGATTCCAAATTCTAAACACTTGTATTTGTGTTTTAATATATACGTAAAAGTAATTATTTGGCGTCTTAAGAACCAATATCGTGATATCGAATTGTCTATGTAATAATATGGGGTGTGCTATCCACACACCCCTTTTTACTTCTCACACATCCTCTAAATTTTTGACCGTCGGATCGAATGAATTGAAGAAGATCAAATAACATAAATCAATAAGGGATGTGTGAGAAGTTAAAAAGAATGTGTGGATATCACACCCCTATAATATTCTAACCAACCAATGTTTTACTTTCTTGGATTTTATGTTGAATATCACTTGGCTACTTATGTGTAGGAGTTCTTATTCAAAACTATTTGATGTTTTTTCACAGAATTTCATGTTTATGATTAAAACTATTCATTTTATAAATGACTTTCTCATCTCTGCAAAAAATCAATTAAACTAAGGTCGTTTAGTTATCAAATTGTATAAAACATATGAACATATTTGGTAAAAGCATTACAAACCATCTATCGATTTAAGACAATTGATTGACTAGACAATCTTAATTTTAATTATTATTTTTTTTAAAAGATAACATTTACAAAGTAATTTACGATATGTGTATCAATCATAATCACAAGTTCTAAAAATTCAACGCTAACAAATTTTGAATATGAATTCTTGCTCGTAGCAAAGGATTATTCTATTATATATCTAGTTTGCCAATATTTGAAGTTTATTTGAGTCAATTCCAACCCCCACTTTATAAAATAAGCGAGGATCTAGTCCGACGCGACTACGTACCCTCTCATGCAACCCCGTCAAAAACATTTTGTAACAATCCCAAAAGTCTAAAATGCCCTTGGTTCTGATCTCGTTTCGTTCCCTGCCAAGGAGAGCAGTGCCCACCGAACCCGCCGGTGCATTGTAGCATCCGCCGCCAGCAGCTCACCCGCCTTTTAGAGAGAGAAAAGACCCGTTTTCGGAGAATAAATCCGGTGGGGCCACCCCGTACTGTATCAGTTCCTTCTGATTTTTAGTTTTCTTTTAAATATTTCACCTTTTTATTTATTTATTTATTTACATTTTGGGAGGAAAAACGAGGAAGCTCCGCGGCAGAGTTTGCAGAGAGATTGAAAAACGGGTAAGTTTCTCCAGGCACTGTTTGGTTGCTGAGAAAATTGAACAAAGCATAAGAAAATTCCGAGTTAAAATTTTTGTTTTTTGTTCTTTTGTTGTTATAAAACTAAACATTTGAGCTGATTAAATTAGTTTGTATCTCTTTTATGCAAGGAAAAAGAGTTTTATTTTTTTGGGTTTTTTTCCTGCCCGTATATGGTCAATGCTTAATGTTTATGTTCATGATTTGTGTGGTTTTTACAAAATATAACGCATGTATGTTTAGCGCAAAACCGAGCGCAGTAGCATTCTAGGGTTACAGCTGGCACCACTTGGTGGGATAAGACTTGGTTGTTGTTGTTGTTGGTGGTGGATGCTTAATGCTAGCTGAGCTGCACTTTGTTGTAATTCTTTGTTGATGTTGTTCAATTTAATTGCTGTTTATCTGACTAATTTCGAGTGTTTTTGGAAGAGATATTTGGCGTTATTGTTCTTGATCCTTGGTGTGAGAAGTGATAGGTCTAATATGTAAGATGCCCTTCCTTACTTGTAAATGTGCATGCTTTATTGCAAAGAGATTGAATTAAACTGCATAGTTGATAGAGTGCAGACTGTTATTTCTTAACTGGGTTC